CACCCGAGGGCCCCCATGGCTGCCGCCGTGGGGCCTGACCAGCGCGTTGGGGCCCGGGGGTTCTCACGGCTTCGTCCTTTCGCTGGGGCAGTTCGGTGTTGTTCATGAGTTTTGTTTTGTTACCAGCCTGCTGTTGACGATTTTTCATGCTAATTCCCCCTGAGGAGGCCTGTCCTGCGGTTCTGTGACACAAGCGCGTGTTTTCTGGAGACTTCTGCATGGTGGTGGCTGATACGGCGTGCAGATGTAGGTGTCCGCAGAAGCAGGCCCTGCAGCTTGCATTGTGCCCCTGCCTTTTCTGTGCTCCGGAAGCTTTCAGCGATCGCGAGGGGAGCCTTCTTGAAGCACTTAGTCAAATCAGGGTGGTGCTCTGGGCGCAGATTCGTGACCACTGAATGAACAGGTTTCGCGAGCGGGCTCTACTCAAGATACAGGCAAACACGGAGCAGTTGTGTTTAGCAGGAGTAATGCAGGAGTGCTGTGAATTTATTAATATTCTCTGCCCAGCCCCCCCCCCCCGCGGAAAAATCATTACCTGGGAGGGAGAATAATTTTTCTTTCCGCATGATATGCTGTGTGGCATCGGGTGACTGCCAGGCTGACGCTGCTTGCTCGGGCAGGTACAGAGCGTGTCTCGCCAGGTGACTCTCAGCTCGCCTCCTGTTGCGCGCTGCAGCCTCCAGGCTGTCTCTTGCATGGCTTCGCGGCGACAGCGCTCCAGCTGCCATTCCGTACGTGCGCTGCGCACTTTCGTTGGGGCCTGGCGCTGAGCTCGTGCAGCCCAGGCTCACGCTGGACGCCGCACCCTCCCAGGGCCTGCGCGTGCGGGAGCTCGGGCCTTGGAAGCGTGTTCTCAGCCAGCGCGTCCGAGCTCGGGCTCCACACGCTGGCGCCCTGACGCGGCCCTGGCGGGGCCCTGCGACATGGCCCGGCCTGTTGCGCCCCTGATGCCGGCGCAGCTGCTCTGGGGCCACAGAGGGCCCCCCTGACAGGAGCTGCTGCCCAGACCTCCCCTCGAGTCGCGCCTAGGGCTGGTGTCCTTCACTCTCCTCCAGGCCAGACGTTACCTGAGCGTTGGCAGCTGCGGACCCTCACACAGAAGGGAACCCGCGGGGCGTGGAGGGGTTGCCTGCCCCCGGTACTGAGACCTGTGCCGGTCCCGCAGGTCTTCTTCGGCAACGTGGACTCCTCCGGTGTAAAGCACAACGTCTTCAACCCGCCCATTATCGCCCGGTACTTCCGCTTGCACCCAACGCACTACAGCACCCGCAGCACTCTCCGCATGGAGCTGCTGGGCTGCGACCTGAGCAGTAAGTGCCCGCCACCCCGTGCCTTGCGGCGTGGCGAAGTGGCCGCCCGGGAAGGGGCGCGCGCAGCCTGCCGGGGGTCGGGAGCCGCACGCGCCGTGCTGAGGCTGCTGCTGGTGGCCACAGCCTCCCGTTCGCTGCAGGTTGCAGCATGCCCCTGGGCATGCAGAGCAAGGCCATCTCCGACGCGCAGATCACTGCCTCGTCCTACCTGAAGAATGTGTTTGCCGCCTGGTCTCCCTCCCAAGCCCGGCTCAACCTCCCGGGCAGCGCCAACGCCTGGAGACCGCAGGTGAGACGCGCAGCTGTGCGCGGACCAGCAGGGGGGCAGCTCTCCACTGGCCCCACGCAGTGCGCTCGGGGTCCCTCCCGGAGTGTGCGGGAACAGACCCTGCGCGCAGCAGGGCTGCCCCGCGCCAGAGTCAGCGTGTCAGGTCCAGCGCTCTCGGCCGCCACACCTCACTGCCCGTCTCCCGGTGTCTCGGGAGGGCCGCGGCCACACCCAGCTGCCAGACGCAGTCCTTTGCCAGAAGCACTGCGTGTGTGATGCGTCTTCCATGGAGCAGCTCCTGCCCTCTGCTCCTCAAGTGCATGTTGCACACAGAACAGGCTGCGCCGCGCCTGCAGCTTGTAGCACTGCAGCCAGTGTGTCCGTGGTGCCTGTCTTCATCCAGCAAACACTTGCGGGCACCTATTAAGAGGAACCTCAGGAGCTGAGGACCTACTGGGCTAGTGACAAGCACACCTCCGAAATGCAGGGTGACGTGAAGAGGGGATGCGGGGCTTCTGGGAGCAAACACCCTCAGAACAGCAGTCACCAGAACACTTCTTCAGGTCGACAGTCCCAAAGAGTGGCTGCAGGTGGACTTCCAGAAGACGGTGAAAGTCACGGGTGTGACCACACAGGGCGTGAAGTCTCTCCTGGCCGGCATGTTTGTGAAGGAGTTCCTCATCTCCAGCAGTCAAGATGGCCGCACCTGGTCTCCGTTCCTTCAGAGTGGCCAAGTGAAGGTAAGCTGGCGTCTTGGGAAAGGCACCGGAATTGTGGAGCTTGACCATTACCATAACAGGGTTGCCGGGTGACTTTGAGGGTAACCTGGAGAGCTGTGGTAGCAGGACACCGTGAAGGGCATTCTGGGAGGGCGTGGTGACACCCAGCTAGAGTCTATGATCCGGGAAGGCGCAGAGCAGGCCAGGAGTTGTCTCCCCCAAGTGTGGGCACTTCGGATGGCTGGCGTCCAGGGGAGGGAGGGTGATCTGTCCAGGGTGTGCCGGAGATGAGTTTGCTGCCTAGACTCGTGAAGGTCGCCGACTCCAGGACGCGCAGTGTGCCCCTGAGTGTGGGGAGCCCACGGCCATCCCCATGGGCTCTTTCATCTTCTCAGCGAGGGTTCATTGCGCGTGTTCGCCACCCGTCTCTCCAGTACTCCCTCCCTGCTTGCTTTAGTGCTTACTGCACGGGCAGCAGCGAAGCGTTCTGCATTGCAGCTCTGACACACACGGTGGAGCCAGATACACACTGGAACGTTGCCGCTCGCAGTACCTAGAGCCTCCCTAGGCCGCAGCCGGTGGTGAATGTCAAGTGAGCACCACGTGACACAGAGGGGTGCTCTGTGAGGAAACCTGGTCCACCTCGAGCCAACGCTCGTGTCACTTGAAATGGCCTCTTGCTGCTGGACACGGAACCACAAGAAACTTCCACGCAGACAGGAAAGGGCAGATGAGGCGAGGGGCTGTGAGAGAATGTGGCCCACAGCTCTTGCGTGCAGAAGCTTTAGACCTGTGCCCTGAGGGGGTTAGGGCGACACCGCAGGCAGAGGGCACACAGGACAGCCCAGCCAGCATGGAATGGCCCTGGACAAGAGTTTGCAGGCATGAAAAACCCTTTGAGTCAGAAAATACTGACACAAGCTGGGGAAACAGAGACGCTGTGGGATACGAGTTCGTCTCACTGCAAACACATGCTGCTGAAGAAAAAGGTTCATCTGAGGAATGAAGGCAGTCACATCGCCAGAAGAGACCAGAGCGAAGCTGTACCTTGGGGCCCTGAGGGGTAAAAGGCCTGCGGCCAGAGTGTAATAAGGGGACGCGTGTGGTAAGAGAGAGGAGACGGGCCGTGAGGATGAGCCACCACTGGTGGGGCTGGAAACTCCGAAAAATAAAACGGAACGATGAAAGCCACAGTTGACAGCATAACCCGGGCAGCGCTGGGCCTGTGCCCCTGGGAAAGGGACCCAGAAGAATCAGCTGTGAGGTACTCCTAGTCAGTCTCAACTCTCAGCGACTCCAGTCACAACGGAGAAGAAATGCTGTTCCCACAGGCTGCTCACTGGCGCGCGAGCTGCATAGGCAAGGCCCACATGGCAGCTGCACCCTCACGTGCACCTTTGTCACAGAGCCAAAGTGACAGTGGTGCTCGCCACAGAAGTGGGAATAGCAGACCACAAAGCCATTTGTGGGCAACTCACAAGCGGGAGCTGAAGGGAGTCATCTGACGCGGACATCTTTGGAAAAGGGCAGGCTGGAGTGTCACTGGGAATGGGCCGGGGCGTGCTGGGAGCTAGAGATGTCACCTCACTTGGGAGAAGGTCTTCAGCAACGTCACTAATAAAGAGTCTTGAGGTGAGTTCAGCCTGGACTCCCCAGGGCCCCCAGTCTGGTCCCAGGGGTCCTCAGAAGACCCCGAAGAGGAGAGGGGCCAGGAGGAGGCCCCTCAGCCCTGTTGCCTGGCCAGGTGCACTGTGCTGAGGCGGGACAACAGGCCGACACGGAGGAGGAAACAGGGAGAGCCACCCCCGCACGGTGACAGGCCGGCGCAGGCCGCGGGGCCCCCTTGCTGTCGGCGCTGACCGGCTGGTGTGCCCGAGAGCAGCTGGCGCTCCCAGAAGCTGGCACAGACCATGAAGCTCCCAGCGGCTGTTGGAGCAATGTCACGAGTGTCACAAGAAACTCAGGAGCAAGAGAGCTCGGGCGCAGTGGGCCGCGGTGGTCTGCAACCCCTCTTGCCACACAGGGCCCCGGCCCACCTGGAGCATGAAGGGGAACTGTGGACTTTCAGACCCCCAGCCAGAGCGCCCTCGGGGCCGTTAGCCGACACAAGCCTTGCTTCAGCGACAGCGACAGTGACGGGGCAGCTGCCTTGGCGGTCCGCAGCGGGCGAAGGGCTGGGTGAAAACGCGACGGCGGCCAGGCCGGGACCTGGTAGCAACCCGTTCCCAGAGGCGCCTTCCACGGAGACGGGGTGGGACGAGGCGGAGGCGCCGCTCCGCTGCGGGGAGACGAGTACGGGCATGGCGTGGCTGAGGTGCCTGCGACAGTCCCCGGAGGCACTCGGCGCAAGCCTCTCCTGCTCGCCCGTGTGCCCTGCCGCGGGCTCGCCACGCCTGGCCC